GCCTTCCCAGCTCCCTCACGGCCCCCCAGCCCTGCCTTCCCAGCTCCCTCACGGCCCCCCAGCCCTGCCTTCCCAGCTCCCTCACGGCCCCCCAGGGCAGGAAAGCCCAGGGCTCCCTCCTTGATGCTGGCGGGAAGTTCTGACCCCTCAAGGCCCCGCCCATACGAGGGAAACCGCCCCAACGTGGCTGGGTCGTGGGTGAGAGCAGGGGTCACCATCACGGTGGGTCTGAGGTGCAGAGCTCGGGGCCACGGGGATTTTTGTCTTCACCAAGAGCTGCTGGGGATCTGAGCGGGGAGAAACGTGGGCTCAACCTGTGGAGAAGCAGGTTCTGCTGTGAACCCCACATATGCTTTCTGGATGACACTGGGGGGCAGGCAGCCCAGCGGGGACCACAGGCTGCGGGCTCTGTCCCTGTGAGACCCACGCCATCTAGGGGACCAGACGTGTTCTCTCGGCTCATCAAATAATTAAAAAGCAGGAATATGCTTCAGGTAAGCACTTTCCATCCTGGTGGAGGGCAGAGGAGCCTGGGTCCTCTGGAGGGCGGGCTTTGGAGTGCAAGCTCCTCCCACATCTCCACCAATCAGCTTTGTGCTGACTGCTAGATGGCTTGTGCATGCCCCGCCCCAGCTCTTTCCATTGGTTGAGTGGGCACCCAGGGAGTTATGGGAAGAAGCATTTGAGCAGGAGCCCAAGGGACTATGGGAACAAAAAGCGGCATGCTGGGCCACGTTATCTTCCACGTGTTGGGCCCAATGCTTTACATCCCCCTCTACCTAACCGTCCCCCTTTCTGTCCATCCATCCAGAGCCGTCTGTCGGCAGAAGGTGGATTCGTGGGACAGCACAGAGGGTGGGCGCGGGCACGGTGGCTGTCTGTAATGTAAGGACTCCCCAGAACTGGCCGTGGGACTGGATGCACAACTTCAGGGATATACTGAGAAGAGGCTGTGTGAATGTTATCGGGATACAGACACGTCACCGAGACTGAAGCTGCCGGCTGAAGTCCAGGCCCTGACACATGGGCAGTCCGTGCCTCCCTGGCCCTGGGGGCCTGGCCTAGGGCCAGTCTCAGTGTGGCCTCTTCCAGGTGGCTGGGTCAGGCTGACCGCAGGACACCAACGCGGGGCAGGAGGCGTCTGCAGACCCTTCCCTGCGTCGAGTCACCATGGAAATAAATAGAAGTGATCGTGAGCCTTGGATTTTATCCTGTCTCTTAGTAGAGCTTGGAAAATTAGGGGCCAGGGCCATGGGGTGAGGGGGGGGGTGGAGCTGCTGCCAAATCCCTGTGTGGCTGGGGAAGGTGTGAGTGGTCTAACAGGTTCTGCGTGATGCTCTCGCGTGCAAAGGGAGGTGGAATCCAAGGGATGGGGTCTGTGCTTGACTCTCCTAGGGGAGACAGGGGAGGGCCAGGATGAAGGGATAAATGGAGCCCTGCCTGGCTCTCCGAGACAAACAGAGAGACAACTTACTGCAAGGTCCCGGGCAGTGTTAGCAGTGCTTCCTGTCAGCCTGGGTCTGACCCTGAGCCGTGTGCTGCCCTGGGCTCCACTCCATCCACAGCCGGTGATGACCAGGCCACCGCTGCTGCCAGCACCACGGCCAGCTCTCCGCGCCTTTTGTGGGAGAAGCCCAGCAGATGGGGTCCTCTCTGGTCCTCTGCAGGGCTACGGTGGCTTGGCCACACAGGAGAAAGCCCCCTTCACCCTGCGGTGGCCCTAGGGCAGGGCTCAGGCTGGGTCAGAGCCTCCAGCCAGGCCCAACGAGGTTCGTCTGATGTCCTCCGAGGGCTGGGTCTGCGCTGGCGAGGACTGGGGTGTGAGGCGTTCAGGCCTCAGAGCGCGGAGAGGGAAGGAGAGAGGCAGGAAGGCTGCAGGGGCTCCGGAAGCCCCTGTGCCGCCGCAGGGCTGTCCATTGTCCATTGTCCACATCCCCACCCTCACAGCCGAAGGCCCCGCTTGGCATGG